TTTGTAAGCAGTCAGGGGCAGGACATCTTCCACGTTGGGATTTAAAGGTACTGAACATTTTCATTTGTTGTGATTATTATTATCAATGGTTAACATAAGGAGTTTCTGTTTATCATAAATGTAGTGACTTTGAGAATTGGTTGTGAGACAAATAGTTTCTAATGGAATCTTATGTTGGGTAACACACATGTAACCGTACTGTTCTTATTTTTATTTTATTTGTAATTAATCATGAAAATTTATATTGTTTTACATCTTTCTTCACTATGGTGTTATATAAAGTCGCTATATATCCCAACCCTACTGTACTAGATTTGGATTCTCTACTTAAAGGTACAATAAAGATTAACCTGTATACTTGTTCATTTATTTTCATGTGCAGTATAAAAGATTAAGATTACAGTATTAAAGAAATAAGCTGGTTTGTTATAAATATAAAACATACAGTACTAATAAGAAATGTGTACAGTATAAATATACAAACATAGCACTGGAATAACTGCATGTGTTTATTGTGAGATTATAGTAACAAAAAATAAAGAATATATCCGTATATCAAGATTTTTGTCTCCCAAGGGTTGTAGTGGACGTCTCCCCTACAAACTGCGTAGCTGCACACCACCTGCTACCGTCTTCCCTAGCAACCAAGCGTATCCGCATTCCAATGCCCGCCGTATCCTAGCAACCGAGCCAAAAGGCCGGCGACTTCTCGGGTTTTCCCAACATGACTCATAGCGGCTGCTGGGTATATAAGCTCTGTCTCTCCCTTGAGATTCATTCTGACCATTCTTCTTGAACAAGCAACACCTCCTCCTCCGCCGCTGCCTGGCTGCTGATCGCTTCTCCTCGCCTGCCTGGCGGCCCTCGCTCCCGCCAGCGAGCATGGCGACCCACCAGCTGTCCTCTGAGCTTCCTCACCAACCAACTCTCATTCTGCACCTCCAGCACCAGACTGTCTATCATATATCTCATAATATACAAGAAAACCACATTAGAGTTTCCTTCCATCCTGAGTGCTAGACAACATTAATATCTCGATACCCCTACAGGGTTCCACATTCATGTTCGTTTTTATCATAATTCTTTTCATTCATTAACAAAGAGAAAGATCCCAAGGTTCTATCACATGTGGTGCACAAGGACTATGAAATGACTGTAAAGTCATAATTTTTTTGACAACAGAAATATACATAGGCAAGGCATCTATAAAATTGCATATACGAGTAAACTGGAGATTCTTTATAGGACAGCATCCTTTGGGAATGGCAAATATAAATATGCTGGCTAGTACAGGACCCAAGTGGCAAACTATCAGCATTAAATTAGCTCTTTAGATGAAAGATAATTTAACACCCATTCTGATAAACCTGAATCTTAACCCCTGCAAATCACGATTTATTAACGAAAAGACTAAATGTTCTATAAATCATACTGTATTTAGTTTTCCAAAATTACAAAAAAATTTTAAAATAAGTTTGGAGCTTTACAATTCCTTGTACCCAATACATGTTATCTCAAAAGTTGTTCCAGTTACTAATAAATTAACTACAGGGTGTTCCTAAAAGATCCGAATGATTTGAATCTTCAATATTTTCCATACTAATTAAAATATAAAGCTAGAACAAAGTGTAAATGATACACTAACTATCGAAGTTTATTGTTAATTGGTTTGCTTGATTACTAACAGATTGATTGACAACTAATTTTATTGTTATCGTAATTTTTGCTTGTTTCAGGTAATGTCAGTGCATGGAATCCCAATTATGAAAATTGCACTGACGGCACAATGCGTCAAATGGATTATTGAATCCAAATCTGTTACCCAAACTCAGCGGAACTTCCGTACAACATACGTTAAGGATCCTCCATAAAAAAAATAGTACCCAAGACGGGTAAATATTTTTTAAAGAAACTGTAAGTGTCCTACACAAGAAAGGGTACGGTCGTTCAAGCATTGGTGGCAAGACAGAGCAATCAATTATACTTCTCGTATCAATTTAAAGAAAAGACAGGGATGTGAGCCACGTGATTTGAAGGTTGTCAATAGGAAATTCAACATCGAAACTTGAAGTTCAACTCCAGTCTTATCTTTTTCAACTGATACTGTAATTAATTACCATAAAACGAAATTGTTGCATAGTTTAGGCCCAACATCTCTCCAAGGGCTCAGCCTGACATCAGGAACAAAGAGGAGTTTTAAGTTGCATAAGTATGGTTGTAGGTCAAAATTATGTTTAAACAACTTTACACAGTAAATCTCTGGGAATTTTGCAATATCATATATTCTAATTTAACAATGATAACAATAAAATTACATGTTATTTACCTTAAGCATCACCCCATTAAAAGTGAATATCAAATGATCAATGACAATACCCGAGGGCTACCACCTCTATAGGTCTGACTTGGTATGGTGGATGTTAGGACAAATTTTCAAAATTTATGTTCACTGTACAGTATACGGAAAAATCTAGTGATCATAATTATTAATACAATATTAATATTTTTGTTAATTTAGTTAACAATTATGATCATCTTTAATGAATCAAATTGGTAAGACCATTATTTTTAAGATGATTTGTAATTGGCAGTCTTCTTTCCTTTAGTGACATCACTACCAAAAACCTATAGGTCTGACACTATTTGGAGAGCTGAAGTTTTAAGAGTGGTTGAATGCTTCAGGATTCTTAATTGGAGAGATGATATATCACTATTGGACTTAAAACCTGCGTGGGTCACTTACCAAAGCTAAAAACCATAACCAGTACAGTACAGCTTTAGCCTATGCACATAAAACCGAGTGAAGAAAGTTAGTAGTCAAGTCTGACTAGATTTCTTACACACAAAATGATGAGATCCTTTATACTGCATATAATATATTATATTGTAAAGCTGAGGGACAATTAACCTTCATTCATTCTAATGTAGCTGATATATTAAGCTTATGCTATATGCAATAGTTTTCTTAAGAGCACTTTTTACAGACCATAAAGTAAATATATATTAAAGTGTTACTCAGTGGCCGAGAGTTCACCTTACAAGTGAAAGATCATGGGATTAATTCCTAACCAGGGTGAAGGACTGGATTCTGTCTGTACAGTATACTGTACGTGTGCAATAAAATGATACTTGTACATCTGGGTACACTTGCTGATGGTGGAACAACCGTTCTATGGGCCATATGCAAGAACAGCCGGCATGTACACAATACTTTGGTATCCTGGCGGTCGTAATACAATGGAAGAAATGTTTAACGATTATTCAAGAAAGGCCGTGGCGGTAGTCAGGTGTAACAACTCACAGAAGATTGGGAGGTTGGTACACTGTGACCATCAAAACAATGCCCCTTCAAACAATTCCCTGGCAGGCACCAGCATAGCCAACTTAATACAAGGTAAGATGAACTCCATCTTCTTATTTTCTTGGATTAATTATAAGCCAATTTTGGGCATGAAATACAATCACATAGTGAATACAGTAGAGATAAATAAAGCTGTTCTGTGGATGATATGAAATACAATCACATACAGTGAATGTAGGTAAATAAAGCTGTTCTGTGGATAAGTCAGTAGAATTTACCAATGTATTAGGTATTATATACTATGACAGTTATGAACACAATGGACAGATGAATTGGGGTAAAATCTTGAAAAATATCAACATCTTTAAGTGTTGATTGTCTTTCAAAGAGGAATTTATCGTTGTACCAAAAGCAATAACTGTATTGTTAACTCGAATGTTTTGTCAAAGGTATGATACCTATCCCATGCATGGGCATAACAAAAATAATATCTGTAAAAGCTATTCTGACACCTTCACCAAACTAGACATGAATCAAGTTTTCATTGTATCCTTGTATTGCAGGCTGTACCTCTGTCAGAGTCACAGAGGCAGGACTTTGTTGCCCTGATTAAGGATAGGAAAGCCATCCTGGCATCCAAGGTATCAGACCCTCACCTGCCAGAAAACGAGGAAAGGTGTGGCAAGACATTGCCATCTTGTTCAATGCAAGCAACCCTGGGAAGAATCCCAAGACAGTTAAACAATTGAAAAGATGCTGGGAGCACATAAAGCAAAAGTATGTATGAAATAAATTTTTTTGTAGGATATGGGATTATAATGTGTCAGCAGCAGGGTCTGCCTGAGGGGGGATGAACAGGGACATCAACTGCACAGGTTCTAAGTCGAAAATGCTTAAATAATACATAGAAAATCTAAAATGGGTGTCTCTTTTTCTTCTCAGCACCACAAAACTCTCACTTTTAAGCTTGCCAGCCATTTTAAAGTGAATTACAAACAAAAATTTTCTGTGTACTGACGGGACTCGAAAATACGTAATTTGACAAAATTTTGGTACGACTGAGGCAGGTTGTAAGTGCGAGTGGTCATAAGTCGAGTAGGTCGTAAATCGGGGAGGAGCTGTATACTGTTAATGAATATGATGTATTTCTCTGTGTATGAACCTGTCCTGTGTGGCAGTGAGAATTGATACCACCCAGTGTCAAGGCCCGACTGAATACTCAGAATAGGCAAACTGTACTCCAGGCTTTGTCAATAAATTTGTTAAACCAAAAAAAAATCAAATAATAATCGGATCATATAAATAAAAATATTTACTAATTATTTAAATGGTCAGCAATAAGATCATTGGCAATTTTACAGAGGGCCAGCATTGTGCACGATGCCTATTAATTTTTTTTAACTACTTTATTTCTAAATTACTGTAGATCACACTGAAAGCTTAATATTCCTTTGCCTTAAGTATTTTTGCACCCATTATTTAATGATTTATAATAGATACTTTGTCAGATGCCACCTATAAAATTTAAGAAATTAAGTGAAGCCATAATTTAGATTCTTAATTAAGGCAACTAGCCAAACATAAACAGAAGGAAATAGGCAGTATATAGCCTGGTGGCCTAGTCAACAGACTGGTGTTATGTTCAGTAACTAATTAGTGACAGTAAACTGCCCATTAAAATCATGAATGATCAATAATGATGTGCTAAGTGAACTGAGAAGAAAATGTTTCAGTTTGTGCACGTTTACAGAGAAAAAACAATTCTCGGAAAGCTCAATTTCAATTTAAGTAAATATTTCTTGACTGCAAAATAATTTGAGGCAAGATATTTTAACTTTAGTATAGTTTCTTAGGTGTTTATAAAACCTTGACAACCCTTACTTAGAGAGAAGCCATATCCTACTTGATATTTGATTTGATAACTGATATGTGTGGGTGTTCTGCATGTCTCATCAGTGCAACCACGGTCCGCCACTGTACAAAATACACGTGAATTTATGTTATTTGTAACAAGTTGTGGTTCAACTGATGCACAAATGGAACACACAGCTGATGTGTTAGGGCCTAAGAATTACCTGGTACTGGTGACCTGGCATATTTGGACTTGTTAAAATATGAAATTTAGGCTACTAAATATTTATACTCATACAATATCTATTTTGGTAGTGTTGGCCATGTTAGGAGTATGTGGAGGATAAAAGCAGCGATGAGGCAAAAAGAAGCTGGCGGATGTCCCCACACAAACACGGAATTCTTTTAAAAAGAACAACAAAATTCTTCATAGGCTGTTCCATATGGAGGATATCTCATAAAATATTACTCCTTTGCAGATTTCTACAATTTATGTCCTGTACATCCACTTTTATTTCTTTTCATTTGGTTTCAAAACAGTTCCATCGTGGTGTGCATTGGGAAGGGGTGCGAGCACCACGGAAATCACCGACATTCCAATAATGAATCGCATTAATTTAATTTAATTTTTTTTAAAGCACCGAGTGATTCTTGCATAGCGCCCGTCGGGATACCAAAGCAAGATGTACGTGATGACTCTTCTTGCATATGGCCCTATGGACTAGCATCCTGCCAGGGTGAAAGAATAACCCACACGGTGCTAACTACAATGAATCGGCACTGGTCCAGCCATCCTGCATCACAGCAAAAGTCATGTAAGCAGAAAATAATAATAATCAATTAATCATAAGTACACATTTATAATAACACATTACGAAAGTCATTTAAGAAGCCCCAAATTCTCGCATCCAATTCTCATACTTCTCCAAGTCATCCAGAGACACAGATTTATTGCACTTCTGAATTGCCTCATGGAAATCTTGTTGTGTAACTGGTAGATCCAGTTCTTCTTTTGGCAAAGCACGGATTTCATCAGGCTTAAGTCCTGCTATTTTACGTCGCATTGACATCATGGAGGCATCCCTGAAATGTTTAATACAGAATAAATCTTCACTGTCACCCTCACTTGCATTCATAATTGGAGGATTCAGTAAAATTTTCCCAAAACAATCTGGTTGCCAAACTTATAAACACCTTTAAGTGTTGACTGACACCCATGAGTAATCCTAAAAATACCCAAAGAAGATTTTATATGCTCCGCTGGCTGATAAAGTGAAGCAACTCATTTGTTTGCACTAAAAATGTATAATAATAATAATAATAATAATAATAATAATAATAAAAACTCCCTTGATTTAGCTTGTTTACACAGGGAAGAACTAAAAAAGAAAAGAAAACACAAAGGGAGAAGTAAGAAATAACGAGTAATGTGATAAGAGTAACCCAAATTGTAAATAAAGTTTAAAGGCATAATGGTTTCGATTCACTGCCCACATTCATTACATAATTCTCCTTCAAAGACAAGGCCAAATCTGAACCTTGAGAAATTACTGAGCTATACCTCAGTACAGTACATCTCTACCCATATTCATCCCCTCTCTCAAATCTCTTCGTGTAATTCTTTTTGTCTCTAACTTTTCGTTTAACACGACACAATCATTTCATATGAAGTGGTCCACAAACAATCGAGGTTAAGTACCAAAAGGGGTGGAAATTGTTCAATTTGTAACAGTTCAGTGAACTTTATGAAAAAGGGATTGTGGGGGCAAACTTGTAAGGTACCTGTAATCCATGTACAGCACAATGAACAAATAAAAGACTTAGCTATGTCTTGGCCAAAAGATTTAATATTTCTACTCAGATTTAAGTGTTTATGCCACAATGTTACACTGGACTCCAGGGGAGTTAGTGCAGCTGGGCTGACAGCAAAGTTACAGCCCACTGCTTTCACAGATATGTCATTTAGACACCCATGCTCTTATTTTTTTTTAATTTTGTAGCCTTTTATTTTGATTGTTTTTTATCTTTAAGCATATTAGAGTACATTAAAGTTATTTTTCCACAACTTCTATAGCTTCATAACATGTAATAATGGCAACGAGAAAAAACCATCTCACAGTTGACAGGCGAGATGTCATGGGGTTATCGACAGGATTATTACTCACAAACACACACACACGAGCACACACACACACACATATGTACACACACGTGCACACACACATAAGGAGTCTGCAATAGGCCGGTTGGCCTGTGCATGGCAGCTCCTGTTGAGAGTTACTACCAATCTCTATTATTCATGAATCTATCTAGCCTCCTTTTAAAACTTTCCAGCATCCCAGCACTTACTACAAAGTTGCTAAGCTTGTTCCACTCGTCCACCACCCTATTTGTGAACCAATTCCTTCCTATCTCCCTCCTAAACCTAAACTTATCCAACTTAAATCTGCGCACGCGCACACACACACACACACTACATCCTTGACCACCGAAGGGTCAAGACGTACCTGGCGCTCCTCTCGGAGCAGCCAGGTCAACTGTTATGTTGACCCATACCAACTCCCTCCCCTGAACCCTCCTCCCCACCGGAATATCAACAAGTTCTCGCCAGAAGTTACAATTTCATTTAGGAAAGGAATGGAACCAGTGTTAAACAGAGGTTTTGAACAGTGGTGAACAGTGCTTAAGTCAGTGAGAACAACTCAACAGTAAGAGTCGTACCCAAGTTAACCTTCACACAGTGAAGTCCCAGGTACCCAGTGATAACGGCTCGTGAGACCCAACAACAACCAGCGATGTGTTAATCCGTCTACGATAGGAAGGCCTGGGACCACACCTCACTCATGTAACACCATCTGTGAGGGAATTACTACACCACGTCAGGCCCCTCATAACACCATATGCGAGGGAATTACTACACCACGTCAGGCCCCTCATAACACCATCTGTGAGGGAATTACTACACCACGTCAGGTCCCTCATATCACCATCTGTGAGGGAGTTACTACACCATGTGGGGCCCCTCATAACACCATCTGTGAGGGAGTTACTACACCACGTGAGGCCCCTCATAACACCTGTGAGGTAATTACTACACCACGTGAGGTCCCTCGTAACACCATCTGAGGGAACTACTACACCACACGAGGTTCCTCCTAACACCATCTGGGAGAGAGTTACTACACTACGTGTTAGCTGTTCAACACCTTCATTAATCTGTATGTTCCTTTACCTTTCTCTAATGAAGGCTTTTGTTAAACCACCAATGTATGTAATAAGTCATTTATGTCCAATGTATATTTTCAGCCTTCGGGCTGCAGAACTTTTTCAATAAACCGTTAATTATTATTATTATTATTATTACACACACACACACACACACACACACACACACACACGTGCACACACCTCTCTCTTCCACTGGTTTACTTGCTGCATTATTATGTTTATTATGTTCAGGATAGTATTAATAAAGTTTGCTGTTGTGTTATTATGTGTATCGGTTACATCATAGAGTCACGATTTTGTTGTACATTTACCTGTCTCCACTTACATAATGGAATTACCGGTACAGTATGAAGGTAAATTGGGTTCAATGCACAGAATTTCGATACAAGGCAAAATTTTATAGACCCTAATCCTTCCAAATATCAGGGGATGACTGTACTGTACATCCACTGTAAACTGTCTTGGGCAAGTCAATTATTGTCACATATCTACAGTACAGTATTAAATTCTAAAGGCAGATTGGCACACTTAAACCGAAGTAACCCTACAACTTGAAATTATTCTAACCTGCAAACATTTGTGATGTCAGCTCCAGAATATCCACTCAACATCATCGCTATTTGAGTCAAATCCACAGACTCATCTTGTTTAACCTCCCGCAGGTTGATGTTCAACAAAGCTTCCCTTCCTTCCACTGTACGGATAAAAAAATTCATGTTAGACACAGGGATAAGGCATAAGTTTAATTTGTCCATAAATTTAGAAAACAGCATAGGTACAAAATGACCAAACAACTGTAATCAATTGGAGTGGTATGGTTACATAACAATTCAGTGCCAAATTTAACTTTTATGCTGCAGCAGTGACACTGACCTGACTTCAATTTGGTACTCTACACTTCAAGAAATAATGAACATTCACAAAGTTTCATTATTACATGTGTATTAACCCTCTCGTGCATCAAGACACAAATCCCATCATAACATTGGGTAGCACTACAGGTATTTGAATTGATGACACAAATTGGGTCATTACACTTTTAAAATATGCCCACCCCCAAAATAAAAGTTTTCAAGATACCGCAATTGCGTCAAATTTTTGTGATCTTGCAAGGGAAGCTTCCAGAAAATACCAGAGCGTGGGTGGAGTTATGCTGTCCATCAGTTTTCTCCCATCAGCTGTGCTGGTAGGTTGTGTTTGTCCCTTTATGTCCTCTCTCATCCTCCGCACTACTAGGTGTATCAAAATTCCAAAGCCACCATTGGAAGGCTCTTAAAATTTCGCTTCTCTAACTATGATATACTTGGTAGGTTTGTAAGAAAATATCTGAGATATGATGCTGGGAACACAATTTTTTCTTCAGCTATTCAGAGTGAAAAAAATCATGCAAAAAAAAATTGTGGGATAAATTGGCTGCAATACAAAGATGACCAGACCTCACGTGAGTGGCCCCATGTAAATTTTGTTGTGGTCACGGAATCTTAAAATCTTATTGCGTGTGCAAGAGAGTTAATATAAAAGTTATACTCCAAGCAAGAAAAAGTTTACCAACACCCAGATGAACAGACATATCCATACCATAATATCATGATTTCAATACGAGTATAAAACATATCACATGTTCAACATACTGCATAATATTAGGTAACCATTAACAACTCTAGCTTCTCACTAGTCAGACAAATCAGTATTCCAGCACCCTCCAATTGTGAAAAAAGTTATCAATAATCCAAGAGTCCTCTCTGATAGTTTAGTACCTTGTATGTATTAGCTTAATATTCAGATCTCTCACCACTAAAAAGATGACTCACTATTGGGCAGTGGTATATAAATCCTCTTCTCTAAGCGTCTCCTAAGAGCTTCATCTATGTCCCAGGGGAAATTGGTGGCCGCTAAGACCATCACTACCTTTGGTTCTTCACAGCTGTTGGTTAAAAGCCTCTAATTACCCCTTAACAAATTTGCAATACAGCATTAAATCATCATCAGATTTTGAGAAGTCAGGCAACTAATAGACAAAGGAAATCATCTAAATCTGGAGGAAAAAACCCTGAGTTTTTGAACAATAAAAAAGTGTAAGAGTGCCTATAAATATGACGACCAATGTCTTCAAATTAGATTTTTTTTCTTTTCCAGTTAGTCACATACTAACCCTTAAGTCCCGGGTTAGGACGCTGCTAGCCGTAACACTCCCCCCCACCCCTGATAAATCAAGAAAAAATCAAGTTAAAAAAATAGTGGCGGGAAAGGCGGACGTTCTGGAACGTCACCCGGGGCGCGCTGGTCTGACATTCTGGAACGTCACCCGGGGCCTAAGGGTTAACAGTAAACAATATGAAATAGTTATTTATCATCAGAATTAATCAAGTAACCATTATCTTTCTATTCCATGTACTGTATATTTTCTTTACTATACTGTACTGTAGCAAGTACTGTACTGTATGCCAAACAAAGATTATCTTCTTAAACAAAATGCAATACAAAAACAAAATACAGTGTTATATACTGCACACTATCATGATTTTTAATATACCCTGTATCTCAATGTTCCAATGTTTCCTCTAGATGAAGCAACAACCTGCCATGTAAGATGAAATCATAACCTCTTATGTACAAGATGAAGCAACTAGATACCATGTGACAGATTAGCTGAGCTACAACTGAATATTGCAGTATTGTACTCAAGTTTGTACCTGAAGTGTTATCAAATAAAATATTTAATTTCAGCTTAACAGTTTTAAAAACAATGCTTACTCTGTGGATGACTGAATACCATCCATCTGCATGAGAAGTTCAGACTTGACACGTCTTGAAGCTTCATGTTCGGATTCTGTCCCTCTTCGAGAACAGAGAGAATCTATTTCATCTACAAAAATTGTGCTGGGTGCATAAAATCGGGCCTGTAAAAGAAATAAAATTAATACTATACCTGTATATTACAATACAGTATTACTGTATGTAACGTGATCAACTATTTCATGATACAAAATTATTCAATTGAATATCAGGATCACATACACTTACCATTTCAAATAAAAGTCTAACAAGCTTCTCTGACTCTCCACGATATTTTGAAGTAAGGGTAGAAGAGGAAACATTGAAGAAGGTTGTACCACACTCTGTCGCTACAGCCTTAGCAAGCATTGTTTTGCCTGTGCCTGGTGGCCCCACCATTAACACACCTTTCCAGGGTCGACGAATGCCCTGCCATGGCAAAGAAAATAATTAATTTAGAGCTTGGGTAAATTTAGTTTATAAATACTGGCTCAAATGGGATAAATTTACATTCTCTTAATACGGAGTTTAAAATTAAAGAAATCTATAATTACTATATAAAGAGGTGGGATATCATAGTGGGGAAGATGGAGAGGTCTACAACTGCATTAGTGGACAGCTGGATGCTGTATAAATTGTTGAAAGTGGATGCACTGGGTGGAACTCAATAGATTCCGTCCACAAAAGGTAGAAGTAAGATCAATAGTTAATGAAATGTTATAACAGTCACAGAGAAGGAAGTTATAAATTTGGAGACAAATGTAAAAAGGATTAATAACAAAAAGATACTGTATACACACAAAAGTAATGGCCAATGCCAGACAACTGTATAGACACAGTGGGGTCATTTTCATGATTTTGATTTGCTGGCTGTCAACTGCTCGATGTTCATTACAGCCGAAACAGACTGGAGTGATGGAAAAACAACATCGAGCCACGATTTAGGAGGGAGGGATGAATGTAGAGGCATGGAGGGGATTAGATTTTAGCTTTATCGTACACCTGGACACATGGTCAAGCGGTGTTACCAGACCTACTAGGGCGTAGTAACCTTACGGTGTATACGAATACATGTGGGTGACTGTGAATGAGTATTCCTATATCAAAATATTCAAATTTCATCAAAATTTAATACCTCTAAATTGCTAAGGTCATGATCATTTTCAGGATTACTAACCATCGTAACAAGATTGTTATTACTGTATATGATTACAGCAACATAATCCTGAGTACGTAAGCTTCAATTTGTTACAAGAATGACTGCGCTCTCACAATTAGTTCAAGATATAGTGAGTTCCATTTTCTAAAACTTTAACGTTTTCTGTTAGGGTTTTTTTGGCGCTTACAAAGTTATGGTCAGCATAGCCTTATATAATGTCCACAAAATCACCTGTATTTTAATTGTATTTACACTTAAATCACAATGCCAAGACCTATTTCACTAAGCATTATAAATAGGGATGCACCGGAACTTAGTTCCGGCCAAAACTTTAGAAAAATAACCGGCCGGAACCGGTACTTTTTATTGGGATATTGGCTTGGTAGAAAATCTTACCTCCTTGTGTCCACCCCAGCTGCTATTCATTGAGACACTGAGTCATGTGTGAGGCAGCTGGGTGAGCTGACTAGAGTGTTGAACTAAACAAGTACTCGATGCATCATCCTGATGGCTGTGTGTGACTGGTTGTGTCGTGAAACATCTGTCAAAGACCCGTGGCTTCCCATAGATCGATTTTTTTTACACGTTATTATTTTTCCATGTACTGTTCTTATAAAACAACTTAAATGCTAAACTTAATATATTTTAGGTGATATAACATACAGTTTTGGAAAAATACTATATACAAGGTGAATCTTACCTTTAAGCATTGTATTCCCATACAAAAAACCTTATTAAAAAGCAGTAAATCATATAACACAAAGTGGTCTACTTGAACTCCATTTCACGACTTTAATTTTAGAAATTAGTTTAAAAATGGAGACAAAGACCAATAATATCATATTAGCATTTCTGGGCGTCATGAAACTGATTTTTTTTTATTGTTGAAGAACTGATTTTTTTTTTCATTGTTTAAGCAACACTTAAAATTCCAGTTCCGACTGGATTTTTCTTTTAAGTTCTGGCAAGTTCTGGTTCCGGCCGGAACTTAATATTCTGGTTCCGGTGCATCCCTAATTATAAACCACACATGTTAAGGATTTAACATGATTTTTCATTGCCAAATATAATAGTTTCTGTCAAACAATTCAAAGACATCAGTTTAAGTAGTACATCTATAGGATATTCATCATCCCACTAACCTTGAAGAAATCAGGCATCAACATGGGCAAGACAACAGCTTCTTCCAAGAGCCTTTTCGCCTCATGCAGGTCTGCAATATCACTCCAACGAATACTGGGATTTTTCTGTACAATATCACGTTCCAACATGTCAACTAGATCTCTGTCATATCCACTAGGATCAAATTTCTTCTCGTCTTCATCTTCATTCCCACCACGTCCATCTGCACCCTTGTCACCACCCTGAGCATGAAAAATTTCCTTAATTGGTTTGTGCAGAACAGTAGTGAGCACATATATGAAATTATAAAAGTTACACTGCAGAATACCCAATCAATCACAAATTATTGTGAATAAATTACTGTACAGGGTACTGTAAATTTAAATTTCAAAGTGGGAATAGGGCATTATGTGTAGGATTCCAATAATTCAAATAATTATTAATATTGAATAAAAATATAAATAATAAAACAATAATATGCTATTATACTGTATATACATAGTAGTACTGGAGCTGTTGCCAAAGCTAGCATAGTTGCAAAGTCTGAAGTGGTAATAAGAAGTTAGGAAGCTATTCCTTCACTTGAAAGGAAACCTGTATGCGACCAGTTTGAGAAGTGTAAAGTGAAACATGGACACTCAAAGATGATGACACACACAAGCTTGAGTGCATTGAATTGACAATGGCTAGAAGGATGTGTAATGTGATGTTGAAAGGTAAGGAACCCTGTTCAGACCCCAGGAGGAGAATTGGGTAGATTTGAGAGCAATGGTGAAGTTTTGTGCAGAAGTATGCTGAAATAATTATGGCAATTGGAGAGAAAGGAAGAGACCAATTTGGTCAATAAACGCATAAGTTTGAATATGAAAGGAGAGGAGAACTAGGGGTTGGCCAACAATAATATGGGGAGAGGTTGTAAAAAAATGACTTCAGATAAAAGCACTTGACGAGAGAGGAAACAAGAACTCGTGTAGCTTGGAGAGCTGCCATCAGATAATCATGGCTAACTCATACAAGCACCAAAAAAAAAAAAAAAGGCGACAATAAATGAAATCATAGTAATGATGTTAATAAAATGGGTATTCTGCATAATTGTGTTTTAAACATATGAGCATATATACCTTTAATATTTAAAAAAAATTATAACTTGCCTTTTCATCTTTTTTGTCCGAATCCTTTCTCGCTTTACGGTCAGTTGACTTATCATCTCGCCCTCTCCCAGTCTTGGAATCAGTTCCCTTCTTGGAGCCTGGCTTTCCTGTACGTCCTGTATTTGCATTCTTACTAGAGTCCTGCCTCCTGGGACCTCGTGTTGGCTTCACCTGAGTGGACCTGGACAATCCAAAGGATCTTTTAGATAAAGAGAAAAAAATATATAAATTTTACATTTGTCTGATAACTTAAACTCTTCGAAAGTCTAGAACAGCAGAAGTCTGAAGTTGCAGGAGAATAAAGGAAATTTGAATCAAAATGCATTTCAAATACTGTACAGTAACACAGAGCTCAGGTAATGTTACAAACTGTGCTCCTTGCTATAAGAACATAATACTACTTGCATCACACTAGACACACAGCTGGGTTCCCAACGTCAATCCCAAACCCAACCTTAACCTCAAGACACAGTGGCCAACATAAATCCAGAACTCATCGTAGTCACTTCATTTGTTATGGTGCACTGATCAGCCGACATGGCCATTTTATTTTTTACCCAGGCCATCTTTTGGTTGAGTACGGTCTGTTTAAGCCTTATCTGTGCCTCTTTTTCACTAATATTACACCTCGGCTATCATCATAAAGTCTTTTAAAGAACCAGTAAGTGATTAAGGAAAAAATGTACAGCCACTCACCAATGTAAAATCAGGTATCAGTTATCCTAAGCATCTAAATTTGGAAGTGGAAACAAAGATTGTTGGCCAAGTAAACAAAAATAAAAGTTTCTTACTTCATTGCATATCAATATTTTATTGTACAGATCCATGTATTTGAATCAATTTTCTTTTCATATATACATATTTCATCAATAAACATGCGTCATACATACTGTAAGTACGTATCATCTTTTAGTATGAAAATCCAGTTATCATATCAAATGCGATCGTCTTTTTCTGTTATTATGAAAGTAACCAATTGGAAAACCTGGTAAATTCAGAAAACTAGCAGGAGCTAAGATCACATATTACTGAGATTACACTTTACTTTAAATGTTGTGTGGGTTGGGAGGTTTTTATTCACACAAGAAAAGAATGGAAAACTGACCACATGCATCATATGGTACAAACACTTGAAAATGTGACACATAATACATGAATATTCTACAGTACTGTACTTGTGGTCAGCTGGGGTCGGTGGTGGCCATACGTCAGGGTCACGTCCTGGTGGTGGGCCCCATACATCAGGGTCTCTAGTTGGCTCCTCAAAGGATGACATTCGCAAAGAGGTGCCTTTTTCAAAATAAAATCAGTTATACTAACTCGCTCCACACATGAAAAATATAAATTTAAAGCCAGAAAATATATGTACTGTACTACTATGAACTAACTCAATATATACAATGATTACAATCATCTCAATTCCATTCCTGGTGAACTAGCATTTATTATTTGCCAACATATATGTAGTCAACAAAAAAAAATTCTGCACCCCTGGGTCTGACAGCCTTCGCAACGATCACTGACTGAGGCCATGTTCATTTGGTAAGGTTGGTACGCAAGAGTGTTGTTCAGAATTCTTGGTCCGGTGTGTCATACTGGATATACAGAAACACCCTAAAGGTGCAGACAATTTTGTTGTTGACTGTAGATCACTGCTATAAAGGAGATAGTACTTTATCTTTAACTCAAAGGATTTATCAACTCACCTAGCGGTCTGTCTGAGAGGGCTGATGGGTTATCAGACTTGAATAAGGAGATGCAGTTCATAAGCTCTTTCAGGTTCTCATATTCTCCTGCAACCTGCTGCTGTACCTAACAAAAATAAAAGATAATAAAAGATATTTCACAAATTACCAGTAGTCATTCTGTGATGAAAAAAATTATAAGATTTCACCATGTTCGGTATTTATGAAATTTTATTACCATATCTAAGATAACAAACTGCCATTGCCACCACCCTCCCACCACTCACTCACCTCACCTTTGGCCATCAGTGAGTACAATATATCAAACTTAATATTAATTAAACATTATTGTAGTTTGTGTGTATTTACAATGCAAAATATACAGGTATTTACAATCATAATTGTAAAGCATGTTATGGGGTGAAGGGAGGTTTGGAATGTAACCTACTTATTTCATAAGTTTCTTATGGGAAAAATTTTATCCACTTACAAGAGCATAACCACAACGTTAACCGAGAACTTACTGTATTTTGAAGCTAAGTGCATGTTAACAGGAAAAAGCAAACTTAGTTACTCAAAAAATTTCCACCATTTTAACTGAACTTAGATAAATACCTGTACTGTATAAAAGAGAAAGTATATTTTATGAATTGCTGTATTATTACAGGATGATACACAGTAGCAATAATCGTGTCATCAACAAGTATTGTCAATTCTCAATTTTAGTCATTGGCAATGTCATTTTTTAATCATTTACGTACACATTCAAAACTCAAGAAGCTTCCAAAAAACCATAGTACAGGTACTTCATAAATTACCTAGTTCATGCAAATTCTAAGGATACTACAGTATATCATCTGATCATTGATCATAAAAAAAAAATCCCTAGGCTACCACGTGAAGGCACGCTCAGTAACACACAAAAAAGTACCTGCTGCCATTTTGTCTTGCGGTTAGGTTCCTGTATGGTAGCCAGCAGGCGATGAATTTGCTGCACCACACCCTGGTAGTACACAGCTGCTGTCTCATACTGGCTGGTGAGGGCCATTTCCCTTGCTAGTCTCATATTTTCACAAATATCCTGAACGTTCACCATCATGACAGGCTGTGAAAATTAAGAGGTAATTAGCAGAAGCACATACAGTACTGTACAGTCATGCACATGTATTTGTATACACTGTAAAGGTTATTACACCCATAATTGGTCTGAAAACACTGCTCAATCAAGCATCCAAGCATATGGTAAAGCTCAACTCTACTCCCCATGCCACCACATTCCTTCCTTCCTCCCTCTCTCCCTCCTAACCTGTGGCTCAGTGTTGTATTTGCGTCACCCCCCTGTGTTTCAGTGACAATGACCATCTCACAGTAGACAACCAGCAAATCAAAATGATGACGATGACCATTACTTTTATGTGAATATCTTATTACTAATCTTGCACTGGTAATGGATGAGTTGAAGGTTCTGAGTAAGAAATACACAGTCACGTTCGTAGAGTGATATGGTACATATAATCTGTAATAAAAGTTTAAAGTCCTTCTATAATAGCAGAGATAAGTTTATTTCTCTAGAAACAAGGCTGCCATTTGCAAGGACATCACAAGTTTCCCAGCAGACAAAGCTCTCTATCAAACTCACAGCTGCAGTCGGAGGTAGTACAAAGGTGGCCTCTTTAAACCCCAAATGACATGTTCAGGTAAGTTTTAAGGGTGTTTTTTAATGGTCTAAGTCATGGACATTTCGGAAGTGAAGAAAGGTGCCGTGAAGAGCTGCTTCAAACATAAGTTGGATGGATATATGAGTGATAGGGGTTGGGTGTAAATGGGACTGCCCAGTATGGGCCAATAGGCCCGCTGCAGTTTCCTCCATTCTTATGTTCTTATGGATTTAAATAACTCCCATGTTCACACCAGCTCAGCTATCATGTATTCTTACCTGGTAGACTTTCTCTATTTTTTTTTCAGTGCATTTACAGAGTATATCAGTACTAGATGGAGATACGAGTCAATTTAGAAGTAATGACATTGACTGGACTTTGTTTTGAGTGTGCCTGATGCTAGGTAAACCATGACAAAATAGTGCTGTTATTGTTTTGATGATTCACTATTGGGTAAATTTTAAGTTTTGGTCATCCCTGTACTTAGACATGCACACTGTTTTTTTTCTGATGGTTTGCGATGTGTTATGAACGATTTAGACCTTCATTTCTATCGTAAATCACTAGTTTTGAGTTACTACCCCCTCCCCCCTTTAGCGATGTATGTTAAGCTAACCTTACAACTCATCATACCCTAACCTAACCTATGACCAGTATTTTCTTATGCGCTCCCAAAGTTAGAATCTTAAAGTTCCTCGCCACAAAAGAGTTTGCATTAAATTCTAGGATATAGGGGATTAATTATGTGCAGATTGTTTTAAACTAAAAGCGTTGGTAAAGAGATTCTAATAAAGTTACCAATGGAAAATTCCTGGTTAATACAGTACTGTACAGTATTTAAAAAACACTGGCTTCTCGACCCAGCAACGAGACAAAGGTTTTCCACAGGCGTTTTGGTACTTATAGAACTGCATTAAAATTTCTAGAGAGATTATTTGCATGGCACTAAAGACGAAAATCAGTACGACAATGCATAAAATGTAACGAGACCTAACCTACCTAACCTGACTTAACTTCCTGTTTAGCCAAACACTGGAACAAAATGTCAGTTGAATGTCACTTCTCTACCGCATTTTGAACACTTACACGTCCTTCCAAGAAGTCCATGATCACATAAAGTCTTTAACAAGGCCTTCATCCTCAAGCAGCACTCATGGCTTGTGATAAATTATAGATTTCCCAGTAAATGACGTTATAATTGTGTTTAACTTTGAAATCAATCCTATAGAATAATAAAAAAAAACAGTAGACAATACATCCAATAATTACATATCCCCGAACAGATCCTTCACCGTTTCTTGTACATGTTGACAAAACCAGATTCACTACCTTATAACTTAGAATGGATCAGCATGACAGTCACCAGTGGAAACGTGACCCCCCCCCCCCATTTTTACAGTAAATAATTTTTTTTTTCACCTACAAAGTACTTGAGAGAATTTTTTACCGCCATAGCAGTTTTCTGCCGTGTTTTATGATCGAAGGATGGAGGAAAACAAATAATTTGGAAAAATACTTCAAATTATAACAAAAATAATAATTTTTATAACCATCTTTTATATACCATTTGTTGACAAATTAACCAAATCTATAAACTCCTTCTGGTGACAGCCATTTCCTCCATTATTACGATTTTTTTTATATCCAAGGGTGATAACCATTTCTTGTGCAAATGCTTTTATCCTTTTAGTAATGGCCCTTCACTTCCTTCAATATTAACATTCCACAAAGTTAGGTTAGGTTAGCTTGTTTCTTATTTTTTTAGGTTAGGTTCGGTTAGAAACACTGCGGCAATATTCCGTAGAGGTTAGACATTTGTAACAAAGCAGCCACTTGCCGAGAACAATAAAAGGATGGGACTACAACTCAAAAGAAGCATTTGCACAAGAAACAACTTATCATCAGTGCATAGAGCATAAAAAATGCTGTGGTTATTTGTCTGGTTCTTGGTTATGTAGAGTTTTTAGACTAACACCAAAATGAGTGATAGAATTGGATGGAACTTTGTTGAAATGTTAATTACAATCTATTAAATACGTAAATGGAAACTAGAATCCACCCAGTGTCGTTAGGTATGTTTTAAAAGGGTTTTCTGGTAAGTTAGGTTACTTTAGGTTCGATTAGTTAGGTCATTCTAATAGATTCTGTGCATTCTCATTTCCACAAAGCCTCGTGTTATTCTATTAACTCCTTCTGGTGTTAGTCTAAAAAAAACCTACCTAATCAACAACCGGACAAATAACCACAGACTAAAAAAAAAAAAAAGTGGAAAACCGTTGTGTTTTTGCTGGATCAAGAAGATGGTGTTTTCTATACAGAGTATTTACCCAATTCTTATTAGTATGCAGAGGCCCTTCAACAATTTTACCATTTGCTTATTTAACCCACTTATGCTGTGGCTCCCAGCTGTAAACATTTACCACAAATTCGTGACCCAAAACTTATATTAATAGGGTCAGCCACCATATTGCAAAGCAGAATCAGATTTAGTTTATAGGAGGTTTTAACAATATGAAATTCATAAATAGAGCCATATATGTGAATTAACACACCTTGACCCTCTCCACTTGTCCTGTGATCCACTTCCTGTCTCACCTGTCATCTTAACACACAAAATATGAAGACACGCTTTTTCCAATCACTATCAAATCCAACCTTTATAATCGCTATATGAGAAGGTGTCCTCTCGACTGCTAAATCAATATAAAAACAAGAGCAAGGAGTAAACCTGTTAATTGTTATCTTGTGAGAAATGTTTCCTTCCTATGTTGACGTCTGGAGGTGTCACACTGAGCTGTAACTCGGCCTTAACACTTTCCTCTCACCCAACAAAATGATATTAATTCCTCTACCGGCATCTCCAACTTAGTTACACATACGTTCAATAGATAGCACTTACAACAATATATTTTCAGAACCGTAAGCATAGTTCGGCTGGTACAGTATAAGAATCCTTTGTACTCTTGATAAAATTGTTACAGGGTTACATACAAATAAAAAAAAGTACAGTATATATTCATAGTATTGCCTACTTATATGAGTTTCGAATAAACAAACGGTGGAGTGCGAAGAGCCGTTTCTTAATTCGTTTGTTGAATTAGTTATAAAAATTACATTACAAGAAATGGTTCTCACCACAGCAGTTATCTATTACGGGTATAGAATAGAATATAGCTGGAGAGTCTAGACTGCACCTGACTTGGCGGTTATAGAAGGGTGAATAATCTCCCTATGTCTGGAGCCTAGAAGGTATTATATTCAAGATGAACAACCTAAACAAGGGTATAGAGTGCAGATAGTGAAACTTATCTGCACCCCATGAGTCGGATGCGCCGGCGAAATTCGGGTACAAATAAACTGCGATAGTTTTCTTGCTGTTTTATATGATTCTGACATTTATCTTTGGGGCAAATCACATTTTTTTTTTTTGTTATTCCCACCGTAACACTGTAGGGGGCCACGTTGGGAATGCGGGGCTTTGGGTGGGGGAGGGGGGGGGCTGAAAACGAGTGATTTTCACCAAAAATAATTGTCAGAATCATCCTAATCTGACCTGACCTAACCATAAAAAAAAATTTCGAATTGCCATTTATAATCCGTAACCAGAAATCCACATGGCCGGCTTTTCCTTCCTTTCTTAGGAACAAGAATTCTGTGTGTACAGTGCCACCGATGTATATCCTCTCGCTAATGACACTGTGAATTGCACTTGGGCAACACACATTAGTAGGTAAAACTCCGTAAGTTCGGAAAAACGCCAGTGCTTTGGAATTTCCTTGTAAAAGCGTTTAATAAAGTTCCAGTGAGCTTCTCTGCAACCAGTAATACACCCGCCATTGCTCAAGTAGAAAGGGGAAAACCGTCTCTGATTGGTTAACCCGGAAGCAGATATTAAAGGTCAACCATAATTGGTTCATTGTTTTCAAAATAGAAGCGACGGATGCGCAGAGTTATGTATTTTCCACCCACCCACGCAAAGATCCTCTACTTTGTACTCACGGACAGTGGCGGCTCGTGAAAAATAAAATGGAGGGACTGCAAGCCTCACACAACAGTAGGATACACAAATTTGACCTACCTCAGGTATGAGTTGTAGTTGATGTCCACGAATTCCCAGGGCAACGATAAATTAATCATGTTATTCATATGTTTGGCTGACTGCTCATGTTTCACTATTTTCTGTGGCAAATGCCTCAAGTCAGTCACACCACTTTTCGTCCATGCCGAGTCCCCATCAAACAATAAGCAGGGAAAGCAGAATAAAGTATTTGCCTCGTCACAACCACAGAGCCATAAACACTGATGTTAAACTGGCGTGTATATTCTTTGTTCCTGCTTGTACTGTTCTGTTGAATGGATAAAACTGGTGTAGGTCTTCCTCTTGCTTTGATTTCAGTCTTTTCATTTAATGTCAGCTGGTTAAAGTTGATGTTTTGCAAATACTTCACTCGATTTTCCATCGTCAAAGGGTAATTAAAGAAAGCACGATTTAACCACACCGTCCACACGTTGTACGAGACTGAGCTGCTTCAAGTGCGGCGGCGGCGGCAATTAATAACAGACATGAATCGTACAGCATTGACAGCAACTATGAAAGTAACTTAAATTTTGGCCTGATTTTAATGAAAATTCACTTAGCAACGTATTGAAAATAATTAAATAACATATAAAATGATATATTTGTTGGTAGTGTATTATTCAGCTGTCTCTCTAAAGGAATCATTCTCCTGGCAGTGAGTGTCTGGGGGGACTGCACGAGCCGCCACGGATCAAGGCGTGCTGACACACAACGAACGAACGAACATTAAATTGGGACTGAAAAAAAATCGTGATTTTTTCAATTAATAAATCGCGAATATCGCATTTATTTTTGGAATGCGCAGCTAAATTCAAGTACAGAATATTCTTTCGTTTCTCGGTGAGATCTATTAAATGGCAAAAAATAAATAAATAAATAAATCAATCAATAAATAAATAAAAAATAAATAAATCGTAATAAGGTGATGGGTGGATAGCGAAAAATGACCATTACTGCACCTATTTCCACCCGACAGTACCAAACATATCCAATGAAAGAAAATGAAAAAGTAGTGTACAATTATTCAACTTAGGAGTAAAAGAGACCAATGAAGTTATTTGCGCCGACTTTCTGTATTCGTCATTAATGTTAACAATGGAAATGTGAAAATTAAAATCCTCTCCCACATTAACTATTTTATTATCATATACTTTGATATCTGGTACAGATACTAAACTAACCCCCTATCCGGAGCCCCCGGACTCCCCGCCGTATTAAGCAGAAAGAACTTACTTCAGGGGCGGATCCAAGAATATCGAAGCTGAGGGAACATGGCGAGCACAGCGAGCCCCCAGAAAATTTTAGGCCATTTTGAAGCCATGTGCACTTGAGAGTAGGAGATATTCCGAGGTCAATAGTAATTACATTTTACTAAACAAAAACACCCGAGTATAGTATCGCATTAAAGAAGACTTATTGGAATTTTCTGATGAAAAGGAGTAGTCCGGACCCCCCCCAGGACACCCCCCCCCTGTACTTTGATATCTGGTACCTTACCAAAGAAACCTACCTAACCTTACCTATTGGTTTGTTTAAGAGATAGTGAAGGTTATTATTTTAGTTTCGGTCATCCGGAGAATCTTAGTTATTTAACTATTGGAATAAGTAGTTTAGACAATTCTATAAGACACCTTTCTTCCATGACGTTTCCCTCGCAAATGACGCATATAAAGGGGGGGGGGGGCTCAGTTAGAGGCGAGGTTAGGTCAAATGCGAGGGAAACACCATAAAAGAAAAGTACAGGTATCTTAGAATTAGTTAAACTACCGACTCCAATAGTTAAATTCCCAAGATTCCCCGGATGACCGAAAGTAAAACTTTACCATAGAGAAACTTCTGCACCCGAGTTTTGTCAGTGCAAAATTCTTCTAATATTCGCGCAATAGTGTTTAAATCTCGGGTTCAAATAATGGATTAACTATTAGCACCCAATTCTCGTCATCGAGGGGATCGGTTTGTCAGGTGTAAATACCGAAATCGTTATTTGCACTTACGGGTGCAAATACCCACTTCGAACAAAATGCTTTGGATGTCAACAAAATTACTGTCATGATTTCAGAGTTTAGACTAAAGGGCTGAATAGGAATAGTGTGTACTTCTCAGAATGAAAAAAAAATGTATGTGTATATATTCCTTTCAACTTCCTTATACTGTATTTTAATTGGTTCTGAGAAAAAAAATCATAGACGGGGGATTAAGAGCTCCTTTAAATTACCAATCTGTGATCGCAGTCTGCAGGGATCACCTCCTCACATACCTCGTTGAGCAGCTCCCTGTGTCTACACTCTTGACAGGTTACACTCATGTTAGGGTATCAGTCCAGGTTTTACTTTCAAACTTATCGCTTCGTTTCTCGGTGATTCAAAATAAACATGTGCTGTTGCTGGATGAAGATATCAAAACACCGACACAAGAACATGCAGTAGTATAGTGCCTGGAGTACAATAATCAGTCCCCGTAGATGACCAGATAATCCAGAATCCTGACTTCAGGGTCGATCTAAACTAGGGTGCACAGACTACAGTCCGGCAGATTTTGGGTACTACGACTGAGTGAAAACTGACAATGTCATTGACTGACAGTAACTGTGACTGTCTGTCACGTATTACACGTAGGTGTAAAACAAGAAATACAGAGAAAGGAACAATTACTCCTGCATATCAATGTAGATGCCTTTGAGTAAGTCGTATTAAATGTAGATGGCGCTAAGCCGACTAGTTTTTTGCTGCGTTTGTTTACAGTTAGGAAGAAGACTACGACATTTTCAACCTGTCAAATGTGTAAAAATAGTTCCGAAGACAGGTACAAATACCCATAAGGACTGTGTCATGTGTGGGAAAGACAAAGGGGAGTTACAATTATATGAAATTCCAGTGTTTTCTCAAAGATAAAATATATAAGTTAAGTTAATGGATAAGTGTTTGGTAGACATATAACCACATTGGGATGTTTCAGTGCTGGGTTAATATTCATTTTAGCACATGACCTTGAAATAAAGGTTTGACTACCACAAAAAAGTGAAATATTAACCTAACCAAGGAGATTTTATTTAATCTCCTTGAACATAATCTGTTACAGTGATTTACCCAATCAGTTTGATTTTCTATTTCCAAATATGCAATTAAAAATTATCTGAGACGGGAAAAAGGTTAGGATGAGCTCAATTATTTAAGACTTTTTTACGTACGAAATGGCAGTGCGGTCCGTGCAATCTACAGGTATCTAACAAAATATTAAGTATCATTAACTATAAACTGACGTGTTGAGACAGTGTGAGTTTGGTGCCAATCATATAACATCTTTGGTTTCAAGATTGAGTCTGATGTAACGCAAGTCGTGTCGTGCACCTTAAGAAATTGTCACCCAGAAATATTCATAAAAAAAAATGGACTTAGAAAAAACGAGAGATAAAAATGCAAGGGACAACTTAATGACATAGGAAGAGGAGGTCAGGGAGGGGAAGGATGGGGTGGAGTAGAGATAGAAAGGGATGAGAGGTAGGGATGAGAGGGAGGGAGGCACAGGTGTGTTGTTAGACCCTGCCCTAAAATGTCTCGGGCAACTTGTTTTATTTTATTCGTGGGGA